ACACACACAAATGAATGCATGTATAACTGGTAACAGCCGAATAAATCCTGTGGATTGCACCAATGTCAAGTTCCTGGTTTTGATATCATGTGACAGTTAAGCAAGATGTTACCACTGTCCCTGTACCTTTGTTGTGCAAATTTTTGTGAATCTATAATTTTGAAAAATGTTAATGGTAAAGTATAGTTAATCTAAAAAATAAAGAAAAGTGAAGTTCTTAGTGGAACTTAAAGATTATTGCTCAGAATACTGCCTGTTCTCACTTATAGGTGAGAACTAAACACTAGACATGCGTGAGTGCAAAGATGGCAACAACGGACACTGGGCACTACTAAAGGGAGGAGGAAGGAAGGGGGATAAGGGATGCAGACCCACCCATGTTGACCCATACTGTCAATGGTATGAGATTTGGGTCCCATGAATCTGACAAATGAATTACTCATATCACGTGTACAATGTCCTATGTATAATATCACATGTACCCCACAGGCAGACCACCCATCGTGTACCATGCTTCCCATTGGGGGTGGGAATCAGATGCTCCCAACGCATAGAAATGGTGAATACTCAAGGTGATGGATGCCCTACATATCCTGAATGCAGAAGAGTCACTGAATGTGACTTGATATTACACATGGTATGCCTGTAGCACAATATCACATGTACCCCACATGCAGACCCACCCATCAGGTAACATGCTTCCCATTGGGAAGTGTAATCAGAAACTCCAACTTCACCATCACACAACGTACTTATTTAACAAATCTTCACATATACTCCCTGATTATAAAATGAAATTAATGTTTAAAAAGATCATTGCTCAGACACATGATTCCTTTTTGTAAAGAATTCTCTTAAAAATTTCAAAGCATGTTTTATGTAATCAAACAGTGCAAGGTTGTATGGACACAGATGTTTATTTTTCAAATAATATTTTTCTCAATGGAAGTAAGTTCATCAATATTGCAATTGTTCTAAAACTAAAACAACAATTTTAGAATGAGGAGGAGGGAGTTTATCGTATAAATGTGCTCAATTCTGAATGACAAAAGCTCTGAAACCATGTCAAACACTAGTAGCTGGATCATTCTAACAAGTTACTAAACAAACAAATGAAAACCAACCAAACAAGCAAAACCAAACAAATAAATCTGACAACTTGTTTTGAGTGATCTGCTCTTCTTAGGATGAAAGGTTCATGTAGGTATCTACATCTGTCATGTGTAAACCTATCGTGTATGGCAGCAGATTGTACATCAAACTAACACGGTGTGATAAACTCCAAAATTAAAAGGCACAAACTAGAACAAAGAGCTCTGATGCACGAAAAAAGCACAATTATAAAAATTCTAAGAGTAGGAGCATGAAGAGAGGTTGGTTAATGGATATGAACGTACGGTTATATAGAAGAAATCAGTTCTAATGTTCGATAGTAGAGTAAGGTGACTACAGTCAACAGCAATATGTTGTATATTTTAAAACAGCTAGAAGAGAGGACCTGAGATGCTCCCAACACATAGAAATGGTAAATACTCAAGGTGATGGATGCCCTACATATCCTGACGTGATCCTTACACATGGTATGCCTGTAGCACAATGTCACATGTACCCTATAAATATGTACAAATATTATGTATCATAAAAACCTCAAAGAACTGGGATGGTTCTGTGTTATTTACATTCAGGATAGGTCCCAATATAAAGATTAGGTGGAATCTTGTTCTCTGGGGTTGGTAGTACTGTTTGAACGCAGAATATTATAGTGGATTTTTTCAGCTTCAGCCTTCAAACAATAGCCGGTTTTATGCAAGATTCTCACACAATGATGGTGTGAGTGTAATAATGGTTTGAGTATTTTATTCTTGCAGTACTCAGGTGTTTTGCACAAGTGTATAATAATTCTTTCTAAAATCCTAATTCTATGTGTTCTAGATTAGTGGGTGGTAATCATAGGTTATCTGAGTTGGGCTTTAAATATCATCAGGCATTACATAAGTAGAAGGTGTTCTACTTGTTTATCAGGTTGTAAGTAGGGTCCTCAGCTGCCTAATAGTACCTTCCAGCACACCTGGACCTGAAAGAAGTCCCTAAGATGGCAAAATAGGTGGCAGACATGGGCACAACTATTCATGCCCCAGCATGTAATTATGAATTCTGGAACTGACCCAGAGGTAATAGCCTTCAAAACAGATAAATGAATTTGTCCCAGACATGACTAGTACTCCCTAAGAAATAGTGTTCATAAGAATGTCCCACAATAGAAAATTCTTTGTTTTCTTATTTATGATCTGTTTCCTCATCCTATATGTGAGCTCCAAACTTTGTCTGGCTTCTGTATCTTTGTGTACCCAGTTCTATAAGGTTCCTGGGACAGAGTAGGTGCTCAATAAATATGTGTTGGTTATGTTGACTAAATGAGGGCCTCTTTACCCGGCAATATCTCTGCATGACATTTTTCGAGTGTTAGATACTTTTCTAATTCTGATGAAAGCTATAAGCCTTCCCCTCAGAAAAACGCACAGAAAGGCAAGATTTTTAATCTAAGTCATTCTTGGACCTCTCCCCCCTGAAAGCTCTGCCTGTGAAACCATTTCCAAGGATGAAAATATTACTATGACCACAATCAGCCACTATTTCTAGCTCTTTCAGGCATTCTACAGATCATTTACCTGAGCCAATTATCTTCCTCATTCAATGGCATTATTTTTTAAAATTTTCTGCTATTTATCATTAAAAAATAGTTCATATATGCACATTATATTTTAGTGACAACAATGTATGAAAAGGATAATTTAGCTAATAAAATATATTTCTGTCTTTTTTTATAAAGTACATAGTAAAAAATAAAATAAAGTATATAGTCAGTCTCCCTTCCTCTTTCAACCCTAAGAGAGCTTAGTGTACATTTGGCATGATCTCATAACCTCTTTCCTAAAGGTCATTCTCAGTAGAATTCCAAAGAGAGAGATAAGTCTCTCTCTCTCTCTCTCTCTCTCTCTCTCTCTCTCACACACACACACACACACACACACACACACCCTACTGTTATAGATGGAGTGATTTGCAGTAGAGGGGAATGGGGAAGAGGTATCTTACTTAGTTATCATAAATAACAAATAACTAAAAGTATACTGAAGACCCCAGATGGCCAGCTTTTTGTAAGAGAAGAGTTGACTTTAGCTGCCAGCAATGCAAGGTGCCCAAGTGAATCTTGCTCATACACTGAGCTTTTGGGAAACAGAGGCAGTTTTCATCCAATCTGAGTTGAGCAAAAACAAAAAACCTTAATGGAAATCTCCCGACTTCCAAAAGCCCTCCTAAGACCGAACTCCTCCAACATGACCATCCACAAGCAGCTATGAAACTCAGCCATGAGATGTGAGGGGGTGTCACTTTGTATTTCTTCTGGTTTACAAAAGGGAAGTTCATAGCACTGCTAAACTTTCGGAGGCCGCAATTCAAACCACCTTCTGTGACCTGCCTTGACCCTGGAGTGTCCCGTTCCTGGGGACTGGCCTGAGAGGACAGCAGCTCCTCTCCCTCCCAAACAGCTGAAGAACATTGCAGAACGGTGCCATGTCCACAGGGCAAAGGCTGCATGTACCCAGCAGCAGCGGGAGAAAACACCAGCGCACACCACAGACTGCAGCCTCCTTTAGAGAATGGTCATGAGGGGCCCCACTCCCCATCCTGGGAACACTGGGAGAAGGAAAGGCACTCCCAGGGCTGATGCTTCAGCAGGTCAGGCTGCAAGCATTCATACTGCAGTTGGGGCAAAGAGCTTTAGCCGGGTGGATTTGCTTTGTTTCTTAACAAGGACTTTGTTTCTTAACGGCAAAAAAACGTAATCAAAACAACAAAGCTAGATGTTTTTGCAATGAGAAGCTCTTCTGTAACTCTGCAAAGAAACTTTTTTCAAGGGCAACTTTTCTAGAAATAGGGTTAAATACTTATTGCAGCAACACCTTGCATGAGAAACACAGCATTAGGTGTACATTATTTTAATGTAACCAAGTTCCTCCTATCCTAACACCTGATTCCTAACAAAGACAAGAGACAGTTAAATGTAAACAATGAACAAAATCATATTCACAAACTGGAGTAACCGAAACCTTCGGAATATATACTGGTAGCTTCTCTCCTCCATATCCACAAACACTTTTAGAAACTAGAAGCATGGTCGTTTTAAAGAAATTAAGTCAGGAGGGCTTAGTACAAAGCAATATATAATGAGGAGGCAAGAGTCACATAATTGAATAATGAAATTTTCTACTTATCAAATCTAAGTCATGTCCTATTATGGAGAGCATCAGCTATTACTAGGAAGATTTCCAACTATGGAAAAAACCTGGAGGAAAAGGAAGCTTAAGAATTGACGCAGAAACTAGTAGTATTGCAACAATTTACTTTTTCTCCATATTTCATAACAAGGTCTACATTTTATTTCAAGCAGTAGCTTCGGTTTAAATATGTCTGCGCTCAATCTAATTGTACCATCCTAGGTTCTTCTTCCTGCAACAAAACTTCCTTAAAGCTTTGCATAGCATCTGTTACCTGGGTCTTTCAAAACATGAATAGAAGTGCGGTGCTCCATAGGAAACTATTTTTGATAGTATGATTACAGGAACTATCATCTTTGGCATGAAATAAGACAAACACATGTGCTACCAAAAAACTACCCTGATGTAAATATCAGTTTCCAGCAGTTGTGTGTGTCTGTGTTTTTTTTCTCTTGCACACTGGAATTTTATACAGCCCCTAAGTGTTTCTAACACTTTAGAATCTACAGAATGGACCACCCTTCTAAAAGCCCCCCCAACACACACACCACATCACCCTGGGCTTATCCGTCCTCCTAAGAAGCTATTTTAACAATACCTGAGAAGTCTAAAGGCAGCAACCCCCTGGTGAGGAAGTCACTTTTCAAAACCCAAGGAAGTGTGTTAGCTGCACCTGTGTGGAACCCGGAATCCCAGGCAGAGGGAATGTGGCATCCATACCTATATTTCATGCCCGTCTGCTTTGCGGTGGACTCTTTGAGGGAAATGTGGTGCTGGGGCGTGAAGGTCCCCAGGCTGCGCGCGATGATCGCGACCGTGCGGAATTTGGCCCGGGCCGCGTTCACCACATTGGGGGCGGTGGAGCTCTGCTTGCTCAGAAGTCGGTCCTCGCCATTCCGACTCTTCAAATTGTGCTCTGTGCAGGCTATGGAGACTTGCATTGCTTCCCCGGGCAGCGCACGGTCCCTCTCAGAACCCCAGGACGCAGGCAGTCACGGGAGGCCGCGCAGCTGGTGGGGGCCGGGGGGCTTCTGCTCGTCGTGGAGCCCCTCCTGGTCCCCCTTTCCGGGGGCGCCGTCGAGGAGTCCTGGCGGCCGACTCCAGAGCCCGCACGGCGGCACGGGTGGCTGCGGCGCAGGGCAGAGAGTCCCGGGGACGCGGAAGTCAACAGTCAGCCCCGAAGTTGTCACGGCAGCTGGAGGGAGGATGGGGCTCGCGGAGCTCCCCGGGCTGTAGCCGCGGCTGCTCAAACCGCCAGATCCATGGAGTCTCGGGAGGCGTCTGCAGAAGCCGAGGGCTGAGCGTCCGCGGGAGCCCGCCCGAGCCCGGCCGCGGCGTCTGGCTGCGGCTCCTCCCGG